TCTCTCAGCTTCCTTGTTCTGGCAGTCGCTCACTATTTAAAATTCACTTCCTTTTTTATTTACCTCCTTTACTGCCTATTCCCACCCCACCTTTCCCACCAAAATGCAAGCAGGCCAGGCGGGGAATGGGGTTGCCGGACACAGCCCCGGGGTTCTCAGTTCCGTTTGGACTTGAGATAAGCTATACCCTTCCTTAAACTTTTAATTATATTTTGGTGTGTGTGTGTGTGTGTGTGTGTGTGTGTGTGTGTGTGTGAGCGTGGGAAGGGTGCCACAGGCCCCTGCTCCTGTGGAGGTCAGAGACAGCCTTCAGGATGGGCTCTCACCTTCTTCCAGAGTCAGGCTTGGGAGTCCGTGTCTTTCCCTGCTGAACCATCTCACGGGCTCTACCCCATATATATATATATATATATTTTAAGTATGAGTATGTCTAATGCATTTTGGGGATATTCTTATGCTGCAAAGTACATATTGTTTATCTGAAGTTACAATTTCGCTGGATGTTTTTACTGCAATCCTGTAGGAGCAGACTCTCCACCTGCTGTCTTCCTGACTCAATCTCCAGCCTCCACAACAATAGCGCTGGCTGATAAAGCTGAGTGATTGGATGGGTGAATTCCTTCAGTTCTTCCCTCATTTACTCAGCCAACCCTTTATTGTAAGCACCATAGGGTCCCTGAAAAACAATGGTAAGCGGGCAGTCCTAAGGAGGAGGCCATCACCACCTGATTAGACTATGGTAAATGCAGTGTACAGCCCTGGGGGCTGTGAGGGGGCTGTCCCCCAGCCCACCCAGGTCATCAGGACTGGAGAAAGATGACCAAGATGAGACATGGACTGCAGAGGTGAAGAGAGGTGGGACCCCCAGCCCTGTCAGAGAGCCGGGCAGGGCCCTGCGGTTCCGCAGGTGGCTGTGGACCGTGTGCATCCACAGTCACTGGGGTCACTACTCACCAACACTCCCAAGTGATGCCAGGGTGGCTCTACTGGGCTCATTGTACAGATGGGGAAACTGAGGCCAGGAAGGTGAAGGGCCTGGCCCGGGATGGACTGGGAAGGGAAAGTGGAGCTTCAAGTTCAAGTCAAGCAGACTCAGCAGGGAGCCTGTGCTCTTCTAGACAAGCTACTGGGCCGAGGACCAGAGCCCCCAAAAGGAGGTCAGGAACCTGGGGCTCAGAGGGGAACAGGACTCTCTCTACAAAGTGGCTGGCTCCCAGTTTGTCAGGAGACGTGAAGAGACAGACAGCAGGAGGTCTCAGCAGGTCCCCAAGTGCAGCGTCTCTGCCTCTCACTTCTGTCTAGGTTGGGACTTGAGGCCCCTTGTTGAGGCTTGTGGCTGATTACTCCCATGGGTCCCGGAAAGGTCCTCTGTCTCCATGGTGACCACCTCCCACCGTCCCTGAAATCTCATTGTGACCAGTATTAAGAGATTAACTCTCTCCGGAAGCCCTCCCGGAGTCTTGGGTGCCAGAGTGGTAGCAGGAAGTGGTCCAAGGATGAGGAGGTTGCCCACCGTGTGT